GAGGGGGTTTATATTTGAGCGGTTGGGTTGCCAAGCCCGCTAAGCGACATTTTGGAAGACATCGAATTTTAATTTTGCCTCTAAATGTACATTATTACAAGCTGTCAGATGAACGAAGAGTTTTCGGTCAAAACTCAACACATTGTTCATAAACGCCACAGAACCAACAAAAAAAAAAATTCTTTTTACACAAAACCCGATACATCAAAAATCACAATGTTCTTAAACTCAATACATCCTCAAATTTTCTTTATTGGCCAATGAAATGTCCGGATTCTCTCACGTCACTTCCTCTTTAAAAGGGCGGTGACGAGTGTAAACGTTTGGGGTTTTTTTTTCAGCCCTAACTAGCAGCTCATTTAATACGTTTGATAGAGATAGCTCATTTTCACCCGCTACCAGCTGACAAAAAAGTACTCTGTTCTCTGAGGGCTAAGTGTTGTAGAGAGGATTACTGTGGCTGTAATTAGAGCAAAAGATGTGACTTGAGACATTAACGGACTTTTTCGACTGGTTTTGGGAAATCACTACCACTTTCATATACTATATTGTTTGGTTGTTTTTTTAGTTATCATACATAATTTCTTTAGTTAAGCTTCCTGTGTTGATAGACCAGCTCCCTGCCACTCACTCTTGTACTTTCTGCAATCAGTTCTTGCGTTTAGAAGCATTAAAAAGCGGATTTTCTCTAAAGTGTTAAAATGGATGTAGCGGGTTTTCCATCTCAGCCCATTCATGAGGACTGTTGCACCTAGGAAATGATAGTTCATCAGCACTATACCCCCAATTTGGCTATCTGTGACTTCAGAATGTTCTCTTAGATGAAGGGACGACTTAGAGGACAAAGATTTGAATCAATAGGACACACTAAACTTGACACAAAAAAGGTGATCAGGCGCTTGGACAATAGTCACATTATGTCATTGTATTTGACGGCTGGTTATGGCGAATACTGTAATGTATTGATGACACTGGTGATCACTTTAAAAAGAGCATCATATTAATGATATATAGGTTTGTTGAGCTAAATTTTAAATCATTTTTCAGAATTAGTTTTCTTTCTATGAATATGGGGAAAATTACTCATGAACTAAATAGACCTCTTACTTACTAACACCGGCACGAGGAATAAAAATATCTTTATAGACAACAGTTTCCTTTAAGAGAAACCTTCTTACAATTTACGAGGGGGCTCTCGTGGCATAGGGGTTAAGGTGTTGGCCTCTCATTCAAAGGTCCCGGGTTCGAATCCGGGTAGCGACCGAAAAATTTTCTTCTCTAAATTTGTCTCCTTTCACCTCCTTTCCTGCTCTCTAGCAATGTTCTATTGTCTGCTTTCATTTATACTTTCTGCCCCCACCCCTTCACCTCCTTTGCCCCTCCTCTGAGCTCCTGACTCTTTCTGCAGCCTTTCTACTGCTATTCCTTGGCTTCTTCTTAGTGCTGTTTTTCTGACACACCCCTGATCTTTCGGTAGATCTACACCTAGCCTTCTCGGACAAGGGCGAAAAATCTCGGAGGGCCCGTGCGCAAGTTGCACACGTTAAAGATCCCTTCGTGGTTTAAAATCGATAAGAGTAGGCTTCGGCCGCCACCCGGGCAAAATTCAAAATTTCCTACCAACTGAAAATACTAGGTGTGTCCCGCGTGCTCATATGACCTTACGCAGTTGCGAGCGCCGTAAAACACTTTACAAAAAAAACAAAAAAACAATTTACTTCATCTTGAGGATAGGATCAAGTGAGTGGTTGGCGGGTGGTAGTGCTCGGGTGTGGTCTGCCCCTTCTTTTCTATCTAATGTCTATCGTAGTCATTTCTCCTTTTTGCAACTGAGACTTCTGAAAGCCTCTCTCAAAGTTTTTGACTTTAATACCAGAAGGCAGAAAGCCGAGACGAACGCCGTGTTGATATGAGCAGTGTTAAATCTAGCAATGCATAGCAAATAATTTCAATAAAATTGTGGATTTTTTAAAAACATTCGAAGTCTATGTGATTTGCTGAAGGCCATCATGTCCCAGCTAGAGCCCACACCCATCTGACCTACATGAGAATTCAGATAGGCTACTCTATTTTTAGGCCAAATGGTGTACAGAGAGAGAGACAAACATAATGGCAATATGCAATTCAAAACGCCCCCGCCATTGAAAATGTAGGCTAGGTTCCTGGACACAGTTCTATATAAGCCTGTCCGAGAATGGACACTCACTAACGACTCTGACTTGACCGGAAGACCTGCTTCAATCCCAGAGGTACACCAGACTCCTTGTATACAGAGACGAAACAGCATGCAGATCTTAAGTGAGTATTCTACACCTCTAGCTTTATACGTTGCCATGAAAAATTCACATTCACTGTGCAACTTACTTACGGCTGATCAATTACAATTCTGGAGAATTTAGTTACGGTCTTCTTAAGATATATACAAGCACATTTAATTTACTTTATGCAGGCCTGGTAGTGTATTCACTTGTTACATGAATATACGTGTTTGTTTGTTTGTATGTTTAAGAAAAGAGGACAGCATAGACAGGATAACGGTCATTTTGTGAAGGTAAAAAGCGAGATAGAGAGACAGAAGGAACAGAGGGAAGGAAAATAGTAGGGCCTACAATCTGCAATATATATCCCGATGCTCGTCATAACGCAGGTAACAATGTAATAATACCTCCATTTGTAGTCTATATATACGTTCCACAGAATGCTTTGTGCGCTTTACAACATTGCTATTATTACCCCAGCAGACCCTAGGGCACTCAGGAACATTCTCAGTTTTCCCAGGAAGCACACACATTCTTCAAGCTGCGGATCCACGCGCTCAAACACTTACAAACTGACATGATATATCACTGTTTCTGCCTGGGAACCCATTCCCACCTGGGTGAAGTGAGAGAAGTTCGTGTAAAGTGCCTTACCCAATAAAACAACGTCAGGTTCCTGACGGGATCCGAACTTACGACCTTAAGGTTGCGAGTCCGAGACCTTCACTATTTGGCCACCGAGATAATATTACACATACATTAAAATGTTTCTAAGAGATTCAGTTTTGTGAACTCCACTTTGAGTAATTATATTATTTAAAAAAATTTTAATGACTAAGAGCTACACCTTTA